TTGAGGAATCTTTCATTAGGAGCTCAGTTTCCCAATTTCTTTTGTTAAACAAAAGTTCCACAGTAATATTAGTCAGTTAATTAAACAAACAAGGGAAAAGTCAATTAGGCTCCAAGATTTATGAGCTTAATTGACTGAAAACACTACAAACTTGCTGCTTTCCCCACCCCGCAAACAGCTGACACCAAAGGGATTCCAGTGAGGGGAGAGGCTTAAATTCTTGCTCATTGACACTGTTTTATTGCTCTTCCTGATTGTTTCTTCCAGTAGCTGGGAGAAACAGCTGCAAGAATTTCCTGACCCATTGGTTAGTCTCCTGAGAGGGGATATCTCCTCTTAAGATTTGTATCACAAACAGAACTACAATGTACCATTAACATGACTGGCCAAAGCTCTGAAAAGAATATTAATTAGGACAGGTCTATTATCCAGGATGGTCTATGTCCCAAGAGGTACGGACAAGGCCGATTTCAGTTACAGTGTGTTTACAAGTGATTCCTTGCTCAAGTTGTGGGTAGTCTTCCCAAGCTCTTCAGTTTGGATAAAACAAAGCTTGCCTCCATCATGGTTTGGACCAAGCAGTCAAGACAGGAACAGCTGACTATACAGAGCACCCATTCTATTATGTCCCCGATGTTAGCAATGTTTTAAATGAAGGACATCAAAGCATTGACTTGGTTTTAACCAGTTAAAGAAAAAAATGTGTCTCAAAGATCTTCCTGTACAATACTGTGCTACAGGCCATGGATACGAAAAGTCACATCTGTTACCTTGCAGCTATATGGATTGGACTAAACGGGATAACAAAATACCACTTTTGGCAGCAGGAGAACCATGTGATTTTTTTTCCCCTGGTTTCAAATAAGTCTCCAGGAGTAGAAGTGAGCGGAGCTTGTGTGAACAACAGAGTTTATAAAATCCACAATCTGAGCACTCGGAAAGCATTTGCACAAACCCGCAAAACATGCACCATTCTCCACATCAGCTGTGGTTATACTGCGTTTAATTCAAATAGCTACTTCCTGTCTCCAATGTGTACTTCTTCAGCATGTTTTTCTCTGTTCCTAACCCTATTCCTTACCCACGTATATCACAGTACATGTCACGCACATCCCCAAACAGTAGGTGAATCATACTAATCACACACCATGAACATTGGTTCTCTCCATCAAATTTCAGCCACTCATATATACAGATTCCTTGAACTGTATCCATAGTATTAAACTTTGATAAAAAGAAGTTGCTGTGTCAAAAGAATAATAACAATTCGAGATATTGGATGGTTCATGTCCACATCTCAATGAGGCTCAACAAGGACAAGTGCAGAGTCCTACACTTGGGATGGAAGATCCCAAGCACTGCTACAGGCTGGGGACTGATTGGCTAAGCAGCAGTTGTGCAAAAAAGGACCTGGGGATGTGAAGCTGGATAGGAATCAACAACGTGCCCTTATAGCCAAGAAGGCTAGCAGTATATTGAGTGCATTACTAATTAGGTTTCATTATATTAAAATGAATACTGATTTACTTTCCTTTGTAAATGAATGTGTTTTAATAGAGTCTTATATGGGAGATTCTGTTGAAATAGTGTCTATCAATGTAATGAAATGACTCAGGACAAAAAATTAAGAGAGTCTTATCCAACTGAAACTACAGAGGAATTTTAGGTAGGCAAAATGTAATTACCCCACTTGGAATCTTGACAAGGTAGGCGTACCCACCGGCCAGGAAAAAAAAGACAGGCAGTAAGAAATCATTACTTCCAGGTGCATATTGTTAAGCCATGAAAAACGTGTTCTGAACTGAAATTTGCTAGGGAAGGATTGAAGTGTTAAGACAAGTTGTAAAAAAATTAGTCTGGTCTTTCTTTTTTTCTTTTTTTGTATTTATATGGTTTTGGAATTTGTTTGGGGGTTTTTTGTCCTCTTGTATGTTAAGATATTCTTTTCTTCCCTATACAGCTCTCAATGCATTTAGCTTTTGAAAGATATTACCACTTATGACAGCACTTGGTTTTCATATGGATTTTCAGAAAAATGTTTATACTCTCTCCATGAGCTTTCACAGTGTACATGTATTAAACTCAGTATGCTTCTACAGGGTACAAAGGAACCATGGAAATTAGCTACTGAAGTACATAGCCAAAAACCAATCATTTTTTTTTCCACTGGCAAGATTCATAGCCCACTGAATTCAGTAGGGGTATGCCTACACTTAGGAGAAGATCGACGCTCCGGAAGTTGATCTTCTACTATTCGATTTAGCAGATCTAGACTTGTAAATCGAACACCGAGGGCAGCCACTGCTGGCGTCTGGTTCTTGTCCTGCGAGGAGTAAGGGAAGCTGATGGGAGCAGTTGTTCCCATTAGCCTCCTGCTGTGTGGATGCTGGCATGGCTTGACTTAAGGTAGCCGACTCCAGCTGTGCATTTTGTGTAGCTGGAGTGGAGTATCTTAAGCTGACCTGCCTGGCCTAGTATAGACCAGGACTAGAAAGACTCCTACTGACTTCATCAACTGACTTCAAAGCAGGCCTTATAATAGTGTCCTAATTTATTCACATTTTCAATTGTCTGCTAAATTAATAGGATTTACAACAAGCCATAGAATCATGACTAGCGTTGGCTAATCAGCCCCAGCTAATGAACTGTTACTCCTGGACGTACACTCACCATAAAGTATGACAGAATCAGAGGAGATGGAAAGGAAATATTAGGGTGGTTTTTCTATTTCCCAGAAGGACTCGTATGGGATTTGTTTCTTGTTCCAGACCTGTATGAAAGGAGTGACTAAAGGAATCCCTCGTCAGTAAGCGGTATTCACCCTGCAAATCCCACTTCAGGTGTGGTGTAATTACAGAGCTCAAGACTGATTCTTCTTTGTGTTTTGTCCAGGATAGTTTTAGATGTCTCAAGCGTTTGGGCTTAATATTAGGTGGAATGGTTTTAAAGATTTCCCACAAAACATTTTGCACTCAACTGTGATTCAGTTACCAGTATAACAATACTTAACCAATACATCAGACAAAACCTTTGCCTACATTTTATCTGCTACCAGTCTTATTCATCTCTTCAAATGGCAGATGCTCCTTTCAAAACCTCGACAATCTTGCAAAGATCAAGCTTGCTTAAACAACCTGCTGCTTCTGCAAACTGCAAGAAATTCCTTACTGAGCTGAACTTAGAACAATCGCCCTAAAAGGTGCTCAGGTTGATCCTACGGAATCAACTGTCAAAATGAACACCCAATATTTCATGTTCTTTGGCAGCTGCAGAAACGCGATGAGCCAATTAGGAGGCTCCTGGGAGATGAAGGTGTGTATCCTGCTCAGGATTAATTCTAGGATGCTTTTCAAAATGATAGTGATCCATAAGACTATTCTGTTTATCTCCATCACGTTTCATCATTCAGAAAAATAAATGTATTGACAAACTCCACTGACAAATGCACCAAGATCACTGTTATCATATAAAGCATTGCCTAGAGTAGCATTGTTGTATTCTGAACTTTTCCAGAACGATAACATTCTCTCAGTAGCCTTTCGGAAGATCCATCAACTATGCTCCAGATCTGACTCTGTTGCCTTAACTTGCACATTGCATGTTTAGGTCTCAAATTCCATCACTCCACTAGGATAACTTCAATATTCTCATCTGCAAATTATAGTTGGGTTATAGGACTTTGGTCTTTTAGGCCACATTTTTATCTCAAATTATGGATGATCATTTAGGCCACAATTTTATCTTCAATTGATCTTTTGGCCACAATTTTAGGTCTTTTTAGGTATTCAGTTGGACTTTTTGGCCACAATTTTATCTTCAAATTATGGATCAGTGATAGGATCTTAATTTTTTAGGACGCATTTTTTTTTCCAAAACATCTTTGACTACAGCCCTGCACAGATACAAAACATGTATGCGCATCCACATGTGTATCTGCAAATTTGAGCTACGGATAGGCGCATTGACATCCGTGGATGTAGAAACCTGCAGATATAAAGTGGGTATCTGTAGATGTGCAGGGCTCTACCTATGAAACCAACATTTATGCATGACAATCACAGTTTTAGAGGATTCACTTCTTGATTTTTAAATGTACACATCCAATAAAAAGAATTATGTTTCAATATCCATTGGAATGATTAATGTTCTGGAAATTTCTATAGAGCACCACTGATCCTGCTAATAGGGTATTAGACTGGAACTCGAGAGATTTCATTTATATTTCTGACTCTGCCAGCAACCAACTGTGCGACCGTGGGCAAATTACCCTTTGGTTGTCTTGCCTATTTTGTACCTGACACCACAGTTATAGACATGCTTAACTTTATTACTGTGAGCATTCCTACTGGAGTCTATGGGACTAGTAAAATTAAAACACACGCATACGTAATTGCAGGATCGAGGCCTAAGACTGTTAGCCCTTTCTCTGTATTTGAATAAAACCTAGCATGACAGGACTCTGAAACTCTAAGATGTTAGCATAATCAAAAAAAATGTTCTACTGTTAATATTAGTTACCAAGACAAGGAGTGATACAATGTATTATTAACCTCTCAATAAAATATACATATCTTTTTACAAGCTTTGCACATATCCTAACACAGGATTAAATTGTCTGTCCTTTATTTTGCTGATAGGTGAGCAAAAGTATAAAACAAACATATTGCTCTTTTCAGTTTCTCATCCACAAAATGCTCTGGATCATTTAGAATATTAATTATTAAGCCTTTGTATATTGAAAATGTCTAGCAGCTTGTTATTCCTACCTTCCTTAGTTTTTCAGCCTCATTGATATGGTTTGGGGACCTGTTCCTGAAAACATTTCTGTTTGTGAGTAACTCTACTGAAGTTAACTCATATGAGAGATTCCAGGATCCTAAAATCTTCATCACCTGCCAATGACTTTCTGTAAGATCACTCGTGATTCTATGCATTTTACAGTTCCTTTCAAGTAAAATTTCACAAAATAGAAATTTATTTCTGCTGAAAAATGCTTTTTATTATGGCCCCCAAATGGTTGTTTGCATTTTCTTCTTTTTCTGGCGGTGTTTGTATTTTCCATATTCTCTTCTGGCAGGACTGTACACTGCAATAAAACAATCTGACAATGGATGCAGACTTCAGTCACTAGATAAGGTAGGGAATTCCATGTTTTCATTGCTTTTTACTAGTTCAAAACCTCCTAAACATGGCGATTACACAAAAAGGTGAAACACTGCCTGACAGCTAATATGGGAGTACTTTTCAGCTCCTCAAGCCATTTAATACTGTGTTCAACCTAAGCCTCCAAGCAATCAAAGCCTATGAAACAAATGAGAAACTGTCCCATGCAGTGAAAAGCATCCCAGCTCAGATATGTGGTTTAGTTCATTTTATACCATTTATTTTCTGTTGTCTTTTTACACAGGGTCTCTTACAATCTTGAAGCAATGCTGAACTGGTATTGTGTGAGGTATGGGGTTCCTGGTGCTCTTCTGCTCTTCTATTTCTTGCTTGATTTTTTTTTTTTATTTTGTGGCAAGACAGGAAGGAGCGTGGCTGGCTCCTTAAGAAAAGCATTCAATAGCATCCTAGTCAGATTATTGAACCCAGCCAGTGGTTAACACGATATGACCCTTTCAAAGTACCCTTTCGCCCTATGGCAGAGAGAAGAGAAACTTCCTTGTCTCCAAAAGGTCCGTGGATTCATGTACTTCCAGGCTAGCAGCCACTGAGATGATCTTCTCTGATGTCCTGCACAACACATGCCAGGTATTTCATCCCAGCAACCTCAGCATCTTGCTGAGGACATTGTGCTTATGCAGGCACAATATTGTACAGGGTTCTGGATTGGCCCCAAAAGTTCTCTCTCCCCCTGCCCAAGCTTTAAAGGGCCAAACACAGCCAGTCACAGCATATACAATTATTTTGAACGCATGCCTCTTAGATCGCAAGCCCTTGCCACTTCCATCTGCCAGCTCAGTCAAGGGCAAAGCAGCCGGGAGCCCCCCATGGTCAGACATCTGAGCAGTCCCTCATATTGGATATAGCTGGCATAATTCTAACTCTCACCACAGAGTTGGGATTGCTCCAAGATTGGCTAGGGCCATGCTTGGGATAACAGGTGTGGGTGTGTCGAAAGCATAGTGCATTCCCATACCCCCAGCTGTTCGACTGGGTGCTGTTCCCATTGGTGTTTCTGAAAGCAGCTGTGAGGTTGCTCCAAACTAGGGTGGGGCTCAAGGAGCCTGTCTCAGAGTTTCTAACGAGAGTTGAAGACTCATGAGATGGGCACTTTCCACATGCGGGGCTAGGGCGAGTCAACATACAAGCCACACTCACAAGCTCACTTATCAAAGGGAGAGCCCCGAGACTGCAGAAACACAAAGGCGAACCACAGTCCGACAACCTAAGAGAGCATACACAGCGCACGGGCAACATTTCTTTGTACAAAACCAGGAACTGTCACGTAGCATGTGAGGAATGTTATGAATCTGATCTCTTGCTAGTGGACTAGCAGATGCTTACAGTGAATTGTGTTGATACCACGAAGTAACTGCCTAGTGCCAATTCCTGGCCTAATTCCAGTGTAGCTATGATCATTTTGTCTGTCCCATTGATGCAGTGTTCTAATTAGCACCCTACTGATACACTTATAAAAGAGGCCCAGGATGGAAAGGGGTGAGAGTGAAAGAGACGAAGGTTTTGTCTATGCTGCCAATTGAGCAATTCAAATTTTGCCGTTTACAAATGTGGTTGGTCCAGAAAGTTCTCCCCACCCCTTGAAGCTCACAGGGCTAAGAACACGCAGTCACAGAACACACACTTATTTTGAACACATCACTTACTAGATTGTAAGCCTACAGCCACATCCTGGCCACTTCCCCTTGCCAGCTCAGGCAGCAGCAAAGCAGCCGGGAACCATGATAAGTGGGCAGTGGAACATTCCCGTGGACTGGACATAGCTGGCATAATGCTAACTCTCACCCCTTCCTCCACAAAAGATAAAACTTTTTGCCACGGCAAGTGGCAGGGCAAACAACTTGATTGTCAGCAAGAGTGCTCTCCTGTCGACCACGCAAATCCCACCTGTAAGGGTTTCGAGTATTTTGTCAGCATTTTTATTGCCCAACGTTTAGGAACAGAGTCATGTCGCTAAAAGCTGTGTATAGGTTGAATCTCTCTAATCCGGCACTCTCTGATCTAGCAATCTCTGTGATCTGGCATGATTTTAGTTAGCTGGATGTCCACTCATTATGGGTATGGCCAAGTTTTCTGCAGTCCCGTTAAGTTTGTTTACAGCCACCAGTCCTGGCTCTTAGTGTTCTGTGCTGTGATTTAGCTCTAATTTATCCTAAATGTCTTCTAACACCCAGTAAGCAGTGGATGTATTGGTGCGTCCAATTGCGGTGAGACAGCTACAGTCTCGTTTTTGAGTTGTTCACACCTGACTGCCCTGCCATTGCCTATACGTCTGAGTGGAGACAGACTCTCAGCTAGCATAAAATGATGTAGACTCCAGTGACATCCAAGTGATGCCAGCTGGCAACCTGACCCACTGTATGGATGGCATTCATTCCATGTCGACTCCCGCAAACCAGTCCCAAACAATATCTAGCAGGAGCACTTACTGCAGTTCTCAGCCTTCTTGTTTCGGTGGATCACCGTTTTTTGGGTGGATGTGCTGAAAAGGCTGGTCCAGTTGATTGTGTGATAGTAACACAGGTTGGTATTGTCTGTTATGTAGACATTGCCAGCACTGATCTGCTTCAGGGACTGGAACTGTAGAGAGGTAATTGCCTGTTGCTTCAGGATGAGCAAGGAAAGGCCGCTGGAGGAGCAAACAAAGCAGTGAAAAACCCTGGAATGTGGGAATTCTCTCACCGCATGAATCGGCAATGGCGCATCTTACCCAATAGGAGTATGAACAGAGGACAACTCAAAAAGGGAGTTTAGTTTCAAGTGATTCCTGGGCCATATACACAGGGCATGGTTCAAAGATTTCTAACAGTTCATTGAAGCATCTGTAATGCAGTGAATGAGCATATGGAAGAATTGAGTGTGAGCCACCTGGGGCTATGGCTACACTGCCATTTTTTTGTGGAAGAGGATATGCAAATCATGCTCTTATTTGCATATCTTCTTCCGATTCTTTTTGTGGAAGAGATTTTTCTGATAAAAAGCCCTGTGTATACGGCGCTATTTATTGGGGAAAAAAAAACCCTCTTATGCAAGACCCTGTAAACCTCAATTTACAAGGAATAAGGGGTCTTGCAAAAGAGGGATTTTTTTTTTTTTTTGACAAATGGCCCTGTCTCCACGGGGCTTTTTATCAGAAAAACCTCTTCCACAAAAAGAATCAGAAGAAGATATGCAAATGAGAGTGTGATTTGCATATCCTCTTCCTCAAAAAAAAGACAGTGTAGCCACAGCCTGGTTGAGTTGTCTAGTGGTGTGTCACTGGTACAGGGGGCGTGACACTAAAAGCTGCAATGCTCCGCCCCACTTCCACCTTTACTGGGTGTTTACAGCTGTTCCTGGCCTGTGGCACAGAAAATACTGTTTCCCTGACTTGCACTCTCTTGAGTTAAAAGCACTATGCTGACAGCTGTGGAAAAGAAGGAAGGTTTCTAACAAAAAGAGGAGGGAGTGATCACGTGAAAGTCCTCTCTCAAAAGTCCTCTCTCATGAGTCACATTCATGCCAGCTACAATAATATGGGAATAAACAATTATTTTCAAAGAAATTTTCAAAGTCTGCTTTCTAGGGTTTTGTTTTTTCTTGTATCAAAGTATCTGATTACCTCCCTTCTCCTTTCTCACCAAAAGCAGATTAATTCCATGTGTGACCCGGAGACGACAATGCATATTATTTTACAGTTGGAAAGTAGCAAAGCCAAAAATCAGGGTGGCTTTGTTTATAATTCATTTATTGCAATGATTATAATTGTTTTCCAGCAGCTCTAAATGAAAATCGCTGCTTCAAAATGGAATACAGGGCTATAATTCAATCTCAAGGTTTTCCTGCTATTCATAATCTGCTTGGGCTGTTGTTTATGATAGCAGCAGACTCCCTTGACTGATTTACTATATTTTGTTGAACTCAAAGCCCAGGGTTGCTGAATAGATCATATAGATATATTGTTTCATCCCCCCATTATTTCTCACTATATTTGCTTCCCTCCAACACCAGCCGCCCCATATCAGCTTTCATATCAAAACATCACTTGTAAAAGTGGAGCCAGCAAACGACTGCAGGTGCCATGTTCTGTGATGCTAGCGGGGATAGCTCAGTGATCATGCCTGTATTTCTCTTCTATTGCCTTTTCATAAACAATATGCACAGCTGCACAAGCAAATGGCAGCTGAAGCAACCCATTCAAGTGTGATCTTTCCTTACAATGCAACACAATAAAATGATAAGTAACAGGGATAGTATGTGTCACGAGCCATAATCTTCAAAACTATTGATTCTATTTCATCAGTCAAAGCTTCAGAACAGGCATCACAGATTGTACGCAGTGCACATTCTATGATGAATGATATTTGGGGGATGATGAGTTGTCTACTATGGCAAGAAACCTACAAGCAATGATTTTTAAGGCAATGTAATTAACTGGATCAATAGTGTTTGCACAGTTTAAAGCTGTTAGTCTATGTATCCTGTGTTAGAGAATATGTTGACAATCAAGAAAATATGCTAAGGGATTATGTAAGGGTATGCCTACATGGCATGGCTATTTTGGGATACCGGAGGTGTCCTGAAATAGCTACTCCGCATCTACACAAGCCGCCAGTTATTTTGAAATATTTTTCGAAATAACGGGCGTGCTATTTTGGCATCCCGGTAACCCTCATTCCATGGGGGTTAAGGGATGTCTCAAAATAGCTTATTTTGAAATTTGGCACATCTACACAGCACCAAATTTCAAAAAAACATGCTATTGCATAATAGATTAGAAATAAGACACAAAATTTGTATAGCGCAAGATGCGTATCTTATGTCAAGTTTAGGGTGCTGTGTAGACGCACCCTAAGTGGTCCTCATAAAGGAGTTTACATTCTATGCTATACATGGGATAATCTTTGAATAGCAAAGTGATAGCAAAGTACAAATTATTACAAAAATAGAGAAAAGCACATCTTACCTGTAGAGGGCTCTTCCACCTATAGTAACCAAATTCGAAAACACACGGAAGTCTGTCATGTTTTGGGGCCAAGACTGAATATTCAAGAAACCTGAAGGAGATAAAATCAGAAATGCTAGCAAGTATTTCATCATCTCAACCACAGAAACTGCTTTGTGACACATCTGAATTATAAATGAAGTAGCCTATGACAAAAAGATAGTGAGCACCTCAGAAACAGAAATATGTGGGTCCTGAATGAGGCAGGATATTGGCTTTGAATGTCATTCGCTGCTAGGCTGAGCAGACATTCCAATTGTATAGGGACAGTTGCGATAGTAGGGGCTTTGTCTTATATAATCATCTCTTATCCCAGCACCACTATCCTGATTTTTCATGTGTGCTATCTGGTTGGTCACCCTAGTCACTGCAATACCAGCCTCTCTAGGAGAGCAAAGATTGGTGCATATGTTGTTTTTGAAAACTCAAACTAGCCCAGTCCCAGAGACCGGAGGCAGGAGAAACCTTGGATCACATGAACAAATTCAACTCTTTTTCCGTTTCCTAGTCATTTTCTGGCAAAAGTTAGCAGTGCAGAATCAAGATTTGCATGCACAGAGGAACACCCTTGCGCAAAACTCACATTTCAGTTCTTTAGTTTGGCTAGAAATGGATCGAACAAAGCATCCCAGTTTTGAAACAATTTTGAGACTGTGTGTGTCAGGCATGGTAGCCTCATCTCCTCTTTGCCACATGACACACCATGATGTCCCGGGATGGGCAGTGGCATAAATATAAATCACTGGGTTGGAGAGGAGTGACATAAATATGTGGCACTGCCATATGGATGCCTGCCCTGGCAGCATGTGCATAGCAGGAAGACCACCTGTTTCACATACCTGTCATCAGCCCATTCAACAAGATGCATCATCATGTCAATGGTCCTATTGACACCAATGGGGCTTACCACTGTGACCTACAGTGGAACTATGCTGGTGCTCTGGAAGTTACGTAACTTTCTCAACAGGGGCCTACATTACTGAAGACACTTTATTATTTAGAGTGAGATTCAGAGCTCACTTGCACATTCGTCCCGCCACTATTTGGGGGTGTTACTGGATACAAGTTAGAACACAGCTTGTCCCAATTTTTTTGGAGTGGTAAAACATTTAGGGAAATGTACAATAAGGTCATTTTAAAAGGGCAAGAACTTACTTAAGCAGATCTCCACAATAACCATTCCACAGCAGGTGGTGTGTGTGTATGTGTTTGTTGCTTGTCCTTAATTATACATAAAGGACTGGGAAGAGTAATCAATGAAGAACTCATAGCAATAGTATTTCACTTCATAGCCCTGGGCATGTCTACACTAGGAAACTATTTCAAAATGACTAAAATTGATGTAATAACTCCCAAAATATCAAAATCCAAATGGCACATCCTCACTATGGAAAAGCCTCGAAATTAGTCCAAGGCAGGCTCCATTAATGTGGATGCCCGACCTCCACTTAGCATTACTGAAGCACTGGGGAATAATTACTCTGAGTGACTCTGCAGAGGAATTTTTTGAAATAGCGGCACTGGAGCCTCCACACTACCGCTATTTTGAAATAACTATTTTGAAATAAGCGTTATTCCTTGAGGAAAGCAGGAGTGCAGATTCTTAAATAAGCGGACTGTTATTTTGAAATAATGGGCTTGGTAGTGTGGACGCTCCGCTTATTAATATGGCCCAAGAGAGGGTTAGTTCAATAAAGCCCTAGTGTAGACCAAGGCCCCGTGAGGTGAAACTATCGCAAGCAAGGTGGTAGTCGATGACGCAGCATATGGGGCTCTAGACATACAACTCTAGCCATCACAAACCAATGGGAGTCACAAACTAACCTTCCCCACTGCAACGTTTTTAAAATCTAGAATCAAGTCAGAGCCTTGGTTCTCAACCTTTTCCTGATAGTGGCCACTTTTCCCTCATTGGGAGTCCCCTAAAGTCCTCCTCCCATCTTGCTTACATCTAACCAGGACCACCTCCTTGCAATAAGGTCCTGACTAGCTGATGCCTATTTGCATTCCCCACGTTCAGAATCCGAGAGCTAAAAGACATTCTGCCTGAGAATAAGAGCAAAGCAACCTGTAAGCAACAAATGATACTGGAGAGGTTAAGCATTCAATGTTCACCAAACTTAAAAACAGGTGTGCTTTAAATATAAACAAATGACAACTGCAAAAAAAAAGTAAAGAGCCCAAATTATGTAGGAGTCCAAAAGTGAGTTACCTGTTATCTCTCGGACTGTTTGGAAGATATTTAATTTCTCTGGGTCCATTGCTGCAATTGTGTGATAGGGGTCCCTGGAAGATCAGAAGGACACACTATAATGATCAAACTGTATAATGAGCAGGCTTATCCAACTACATTATGCGATAGCAGTATACGGAATATCAGCACTTAGCTTCTAGATAGCACGTTTTTCAATTCACTGACTTCCAGAACCTTGAGTGTTTTCCAAGGAGTTCTGAGCCCCACATTGGCTAGTGCAGCTTGACGGAAGGTGAGGGGTGCTTGTCATCTTGAAGGTTCAGACCATAAATATTTTTGGGAAATATCTAGGCTCATGAAAATCCAGATACAAAGGGCTGGTTAACAAAATGTGCTCAGCTCTCACCTTCTCTGCGAATCAAGCACTTTCCAAGGTGTCTCAGATGTTTGCCACCTCAGAAGTGCCCACACCAGGTTTTAAAATCTGAGCCAGATTGTGCTAGTGCAGAGAAGGCTGGAGTGGTCTCATTTCATGATTCTTTGCCCAGCACATCAAATAAAAGAAAGTAGGAAAAGAGTCTCCTGACAGGTACGCCTTTAATGTAAAGATGACTTGATTACACTGTGACCTGAACAACGCCGCTTAAAAGCCCACAGAAAAGTTCTTGTGTGATCGGTGTTATGGAATGTTTGCGTTTCTTCAAAAAAGAAAGCCCGGGGGTGGAAGGCAACCTCACGAAAGCTGCAGTATGCATTCCTCACATCTCATTATTTTCCTTTCCAAGAGACATAGCTCGTGGGATTGGCATAGGAGGGTAATCAAACATGCTGCAACCTAGCCCTCACGACTCACAGCAGTGGTGGAGAAATGGAGGTCACTTCTAACCTTTACAGAGAGCATTTCCAGGTTAGCCCGAGTGAAATGAGTTCTGGAATCGTAACATAAAGGCTAGTGGACCACTACAATACTGTACTCTGAAGTTCAGCAATTTGGGGCATTCATAAATAAAAGATGACAGGTTTTGAGTGCTCAACAGAGAAATATCTTTTTTTTCTTTTGAAATCCATTCATATTAAAAAGCTCTCTCTGCTAACCATGAGAGTCCTGTATAAAATATCTCCATCCCAATGTTTGTATTTGATGACAAAAATGAAACGTCACGCCAAAAAAGAAGAGCAGCCAATGTACCTTATGTAGCAATTTTCTCTTCTTACAAAACTGTAAGAGAACACATTCTTCCCCAACTATTCCAATTATATTTTAATCTTTAGGCCATTTATTTTTATTGCCATTGGCTAGAAAAAAATCACTGAGGATGCATTTTCCATGCATGTTGATGTTAGTTCAAATCTTACCTGAGCTTTTTCTCCAAATATAGGAGATTAACAACCAGATCCAAAGGCCACTGAAGTCAATGAAAGTCCACTGATTGGTTTTAAGAAGCTTTGAATCAGGCCATAAATAAATGCCTCCAGTACCAGTGATAGAAATGTAGCTGTGTTAGTCTGGTGTAGCTGAAACAAAATACAGGACTATGTAGCACTTTAAAGACTAACAAGATTCCATCTTGTTAGTCTTTAAAGTGCTACATAGTCCTGTATTTTGTTCCAGTACCAGTGACATTATTGAACTAAGCTGTCCTATTATCGGACTTCTAGAGAACAAGTGAGCAGCAGTTGATGAACTTGGTATAGCAAGGGCCAACTTTCTCATGATAGCTTCCTTCATTTTGCACCCTTTGATCATAAGAACATATATACCAAGATAAAGACTCCTTCATGCTCCAGCTAGCCCTGTATTTATTTTAATATTTCCTTCCTAAAAGATAGCAATGAAGAAGTCCTGGAAATATACTCTGCCCACTTTGTATTCTAAAGATGCTCTGCAAAAACTGCACTGGGTATTTTTTTATATGAATTTCCATTCCTGAATTCCAGTCCCCATGGAATTCTGGGTTAGATATTAATACTTATTTAGGGCATGATTGTGCAAACAATACCAGTGACATTTTTTTCCCTCGGGGTTTTAAAATTACAAAGCTTCCAGACATATACCACAGTCAGCACCTCCCCTAGACACTAAAGATCTCTCATTCCTTTTTTTTTCAGACAATGCTTTATCGATCTCAAACTGAATGCCAGGTAGTACACACATGCATTAATAAAGTTCACTTCACTCGTACACTTAGCGAGAAGCCATGTATTAATACTGACAAACACTCCAAGCATTATTTAAAGCCTACTGAAGTTAATAGAAAGATGACATCTATTGACGTCAATGGGCTATTGATTAGGCCTTATTTATCTTCACAAGTCTTGTAAACTAACAAATGAAGCAAAAGAGTGGAGTTGCAATATTTTTACAAGGCTGCTGTAGAAAAGGGAAGTGTAGCATAATAAATGTATCTATTAATAGAGGAACCAATACCATTTATATAGTTATCAATCAATTTTCAACCAAGTGAGAATAAAATATGGAGAAGCTGTGTGTGGTTCATTAGGCAAGGTATTTAAAAGCACACACACTTTTAATAGCCTCTGCAATTAAAATTATTCTCTTCCACTATCAAAACTCCTTTTAATTCCCTACCCACCATGAACTCTTCATTCCTAAGACTGGAAATATGAGGAGTCTGCATTGCTACAAAGAATAGGTTAGAAATTGTCCTTAGCATATGCATTCAAGGAAACAACTTCCTTATTTAAAACGACGAGTGGGAAATGCGTATTTGATTATTATTGCAGTACGCAGGCAATATATTTTGTGCATGTTTTGTTTAATTTTATTATATCAGTTGTTATTCTCTTGGATTTTGGGAATGGAAATTGATAGCCAAAAATACTCAGAGCAGGTTCTGCACAGCATATTTAGAATACTAAATGGGCAGTAGGTATCCCCACCAGCAATGCTGATATAGGGGTATTTCCAGGGCTGCTTCACTACCATCCTTCTGGTAACTTCCTTTCTAGAAATATACATTGTAAAATTTCACATATTTGAACACACCATCAAAAGAAGCCCCCAAACTAAAGCTATTTTAACTCAATTTCTGAGATTTTCTTTTTTTCAAAAAAGCTGCACAATTCACCCGCCTATTTTTTTTCATGAGCTATGGTCTATTTGCATTGTAAGTCATTGAATCATAGAACTGTAAAGGACTTTGAGAGGTCATCGAGTCCAGTCCCCTGCACTCACGGCAGGACCAAGCATCATCTAGATCATCCCTGGTAGATGTCTATCCAACCTGCTCTTAAATATCTCCAGGGATGGAGACTCCACAACCTCCCTAAGCACTTTATTCCAGGGTTTAACCACCCTGACAGTTAGGAACTTTTTCCTAATGTCCAATCTAAACCTCCCTTGCTGCAGTTTAAGCCCATTGCTTCTTGTCCTGTCATCAGAGGCCAAGGAGAGCAATTTTTTTCCTTGTAACACCTGTTTAGACAATTGAAAACTTCTATCATGTCCCTTCTCAGGCTTCTCTTTTCCAAACCAAAGCCCCGTTCTTTCAGTTTTCCCTCATAGGTCATGCTTTTTAGACCTTTCATCATTCTTGTTGCTCATCTCTGGACCTTCTCCAATTTCTCCACATCCTTCTTGAAATGTGGTGCCAACAAGTCCACTGTGCTGCTTCCACTTGGTATTAGACTTTTCTTGCAGGACACTGATTGGAGCATGGAATGGGATCAACAGACGTGTCACAAACATAAGACTGGCCAAACTGGGTTAGACCAAAGGTCCACCTAGACGAGTATCCTGTCTGCGAACAGTGGCAAATGCCAGATGCCCCAGAGGGGGAGAATAGAAGAGGGAGTCATCATCATCATAATCCCTCTCCTGTCACCCATTTCTAGTCTCTGACAAACAGAGACAGGGGACACCATTTCTGCCCATCCTGGCTTGTATTTATCCTGACATGGCAAAGTATTTTACCTTTTTGCTTCTCTCTTTATTTCTAGTCCAAATTTTTTGCTTTATGTTCCAGAGATTCATTAGCACAATCCAGTGCATAATTCTGCTCTACATTTTTGCACCTAACACCCTGCATTTCATTGGCTAAAACAGACACTACTGTCAGATTTCTGTCTTTTTTTCTTGCTGCCTTTCTTGAGTTTTCTAATCTCCTTTCTGTCCTGACTCCTCGGTCAGTAATTTCTCCATATTAGAATGTATGAGGTGTGACTCCTGAGGGCTCTTTTTTTGTGATTCCTCAAATCTGCAGCAGCGCTTCTTTGAATCATTTACACCTGGTTCTTTGTCTAATCCCACGCTACATTAACCTTTCATAATGTGGACTCTATGCTGAGAGACAATATCATCTACACAATCAAACTCTAACTTCCCTGTCTTGTCATCGAGCTGACCCAATGCCCACTGGAGTGAACGGAAGCTTTTCCTCTGACTTCAGGGCCCTCTGGATTGGGCAGGAGAACTGGCCGCTACAACAAATTCAGGAATTATGAAATCGGATCTTGAAGGGCAGTGTCAAAGATACATCCAGATATTGACAATTAGGATTTCTCTGCATACCAGAAGACACAGGACAACTATGGAACAACCCACCTCTATTAGTCATGTCAAAATTATGGCTTAGGCCCTTTGTGGCAGTGGTTTTTCCCATTCAGTGACAAAGTCGCAAGTTCAGATTTGGCCTGGGGGCTGTAATTAGAGCTCGGTTCTCAGCCCGATGCTGAAAATGGAAAGGAGCCAGCAGATTGGATGTAAAACTGCAAAAGCTAGATGGTACTAGAAATAATTAAATAGCTTCTGTCATCGCACATTTGTTACCACATAGCAGTAAGGTTTCTACATGCTTGATGGTGTTCCTCTATTTGCAGGATTTTGTTCACTATACCTCACAAAAGAGGCCCACTCACTTCACCCTGGCTGATGACTGATGCTCACGAGGGGATGCTAAGCATATTTCTGTCCCACCACAGAAAACCCTTTTAGGATGGAAGAAAGGCCGTGAGAAAACTGCCGGCTGCAGTCAATTAACACGGAAATTCTTTCCCCAGGAGGCGTTTCAGTTGAGAAATGACACCCATTAATCCAAGGGGACATCAGGCATGCTAAATGTTGACTGGAATAGTGAGCAAAGGGGGCACCAAAACACAATCTGAAGTGTGCTTAATGCTCTGAGGTATCTCCCATAAGCAAGATCCAAACAGCTCACAGCTTGGTT